GGAACCATGTTCACTCGTAATGATCACTCGAATAATTAATTCTTTACCCGTTGACATTTGAACGATTGGACTTTTGACGATCAATTATGTCACTGTTCACGCGTTGATGATCGCATTATAAGCTCCCCGTGCACATAAAAATGAAAAAGCTATAGTAAATCAAAGTAATACGTTGTCGGTATTAGCGACGTGTTTTCATCCTAGCAACCCGGTAGATAAAGTATTTGTTGACAATTACGCCTCGGTTTGGACAGGTTCTTGTTATTGGTCAGTTGCGTAACAAAGGACGCTGCTCATGTGCAGTTTTATTTCGTACGTAAAGTTAGGAGATCTCTTTGATGACCAGGCTGTTTTCATCTCATTTACGATGTGAATTTGTTGTTCCTCAATATGGTTACACGTAACTAATCTAATCAAAATCGCCGCAGTAATAAACAACAGGAACATCAGAGTTCCCAGCGGTAGCTGACGAAGACGCGAAAGGCGTACTGGCACAGAAAAAACCCATCGACTCGTAAATTCTGTGATCTATATTTGGTGTGCGATGCTAGAAAGGCTTAGAGATACAATCAGCTGATGAAGCACGTGGCCGACGTAGATTCCATTCGCATCGTTATAGAAATCCGCGCCACGCGTTTTTTGGTGAACCAACAGAAGTTTGTGTCGTCTAATTGGTTAAGTTGTGTGCTGTTTTGATCAGAGGAATCTGTGTTCGTGTATTAACCCTTTATAGATTTTGCAGGGATATAGTGGTCAGCTTTGAATTAATTACATTGTATCACGCGTATTTTGATTTAAATCACTGGCAATAAGTAGAAAAACTACTGCACAACTATTACTGTTGGAAAGCAAAGTATTTATAAAATTGAAAATTCGCATTTTCTTTTTTATTAAGTTATGAGAAATTCCTACGAAGTGTTAACGATAAAAAAGAAGTTTGAATTTGTTGAACGGTGTTATTGACTGCGAGCCAAGGTGTTTTCGTTTCGCCAGTCTTATCGCACGCGTGTATCAAGTTCCTTAAGCAGTAAATCTTGGTTTCTTCAGAGCATATTTCTACAATAATGATTGCATTAGTCGTACGTCGATTTGAAGCGAAACAAATTGAACCTTAGAAAATTTTCTAAATGAAAGGACTTGAAGTGGACTTGGCGTAACGGTTGCTAGGATCTTGGCGTTGCAAAACGGCAATCCTTTCGCCCTGAAAATGTATACTCTGACGCTATCGCGTGTCCTAGCCGCGTTCTTGCTCCTCTCGATCTAGCGGATCTTGCAGTCTCGGTAAGCGATACAGTTAGTTCTTCGATTCGCGCTCGAGCGACGTGGAACTCGAGACTTCTGTTTCTGTTGAAGAACACAGTGCTGTTGATCGTTGAGATTCTTCTGTTTGCTTGATGCTTCTCGTCTTTCTTTTCCAACTCGTTGTAACTGAACATTCCTGAAACACGAAAACTTGTTCTGTATTGAATGTTCGTAGTTAGGGACCAAGAAAGATTAATCAACCATTTTGAAATGTTACATTTAACAATGTAAAATGTCTAGAATTATCGGGACTACATGCATCCGTGTGTACCAGTGAACTGTAAAAAACGGGTTAATCGATCTTGCCTGCACAATATGAAGTCTGCAGGAACAGGTGTATGCACGCTAGTGTTCCCAATCGAAGATAATACGAACAGTGATGTCTGTCACTTTTAAGACAGCATCTGCATGACATGCGAATTTTATCATTTTTTACATGATCAAAAGTGTAGGAAGGAAAAATCACGCGTCACGTGGATTTCGTTTCAGTGAGATATCACGTTCGAAGGATGCAGTATAATGGCACTTGCGGCTTACACGATAAGAAACGATGTGATACGACGCCGCGGATAACTTCTTCTTTAGACTTGATCCACAATACCAAAATGTTCATGATACAATCGCGTTGCGATTTCCATTGCATATTCACTTGTGAATGCCAAAACTACCATCCGGGTCAAAATAATGAAATGACATTTTGAATTTTTTACTTTTAGAATTTTCAAAGAGATACACACACTTTTGTAGGGAACTGTTTGGTAACTTGGTTCACTAATACGTATCCTAAAGTATAAATCAATCTAAATCTTGGTAAATCTGATCGCTTGATAGTTCTAGTGTTAAAGTAGAAAGAAAATTTAACAGTAATTTCCAATGCAAACAATTATAGAAAGTTGTTTCTTCAAGTGGAACAAGTTACTTCACAATGTAAACGCATATGATATCGTTTATGCTACTGTGGATATTATAAAGTCAATCCGATAAACAACTGACTAAACACGGATGAATACGAACGCAGAGTTAATTTTAGAGGACCGGAATTTCATCGTGAAAATAACAGTCTTTTTTACAACAAAACATTATTTGCTTACACTTACCTCTAAAGGTTACTTTTGTTGCATCATGTGCATAATGCGGCAGGATTGTGTCACTGTTATCCGTGACCAGGATCAAAAGTCTTCGAGGAAGATGGCATGGGGAACGGCATCGAGGAAGGTGAATAAGTCGCGGACACGTGTCCGTCTCGTGGCACTCGACGCGGGCGAATCCTCGCGCGTGAATAGGTATCAACGGATACATTTAATAACGGAAGTAATCAGTGTACGCTCGTTGCAATCTGATGTTTCTTCTCGGTGGTCCGAGTCAGCTAACGCCGATTGCTCCATTACCCATCGACCGGACCGCAAACAATCGCAGGATTCGTTATTTTCAGCGACGATTGAATCGGTGAAGGATCGCCTTTGAGTAATGAACGTATGACCACTTATAATCTGGGAAATCGTGATCGTTCCAGCGTTCAATCAATTCCTTGTTACATCAGAGAATACGACAAAGAATTTCTTTAACGTCATGCACGTGTTTCGAGGAATTCAAATTTAAAGAAGATAGAAAAAGTTCGTACAAAAGGGTGCCTTTTTTTGAAACAAAATGAATCGAGTGTTACGACGTTAACGATCGATATTACGAGCATTTAGATAATATCGTGGATATTTTAGTTGTTAGTTTTGAAGACTAAAGCTTTAAGAGAGCATCTAACTGCATGACTCGATAGAGTTTATCCTCTTACTTTGTTGCACTAGGGAACGAGAATCGCATTCGAAAATAGGGTAAAAAACATTCAATAGTTTAGCGAACGCTGCATTTTAGTTTATATAATTGTGCAGTATAGTAGCGCTGAATTGATTATTATTATCACAAATGCGAGTTATTGTGCGAGCTGAGGCAGGGTGCTCGCGAAACACCGATCTATTTTTAAGCGGTCGTTGCGTCAAAAGCTTACCCTCCCATTCAGAGCCACGAATAGAACACGGTTTCTCTTGTTGTCGTTCTGATTCGTCCCGCCCTCGTCATCTTATCTCCGAGGCGTTAGGCTCTCGTTATCAGTACGAATTTAAAGCGGATCTCCAAAAATTTTTACGCGAGTTTCACTTGATCGGACCAGCGATCAGGTTTTTATCTTCCGCGAATATTATCGTGGCAATAACTCGACTCTCTGTTCGCTGTGAAGCAGTGAATCTCTTAGGTTTCCCCGTCACGAGTTAATCGTTTATTTCAACTGTAAGGTAGAGCTTGAAACTTCGTTGCTTGAAACACAGATTATAATCTTTATTCATTTATAGGTTCCCGAAATATTTTAATTAGTACCATTATTTAGTTAATTAAATATATTACTATTGAAAATACTGTTACTTGATACTATTTTTAATAGTACTACTCCAATATATTCGTAATACTATTACATACTTAATACTATTTCTAATATTACTACTTAATACTTTCTCTAATACTATTGCCCAATATGAACTATAATATCACTACTCGATATTCTTCTAATACTATTGCTCAACATTATTTCTAACACTACTACTCAATAGTTTCACTCAATTTCAGTCTCCTGAATTTAAGTCACTTTATGGATAAACCGTGTCGATTCATCGCTAAGTAGAATAAATAATGATAGCCTTCGCTGTAATGATAATCATTCGATTCGATTTCCACGGATGAGCCACTGCGATCGCGTTCATCCGATCGCTAGTTTCCCGCCGGTATAGGAAGCCGATTGCGCAACTGCGTGAGTGGAATACATGACCTTTCGCGCGCTCGCGCGCGTCGCGCGAATGACTGTCACGCGACGTTGTTGCACTTTATTTTCGAACCATCCCCGGCTGTCTGCGCGGACAGACAGATCCCTTCGACTCGCGACAGGTGAAAGAAAAAATTGTTGGCTCGCTAGTGTGTCGTGATCGGCGACGCGAACGCGTGCCCTGTCGTCGTCCGCGAGCAGACAAAAAGAACGGTCGAACTGCCCCGCGAAAAGATAGAAATTTCGCTTCTCTGAAAGAGAAAAATCGATTTGAAAAAAGGTAACGCTAACCGAAGTTTCATATGAATCTTTTTCCATTGATTGATACAGTAATTTGTGATCGTCACCGTTCATCAAGGTTAATTTCTGTCCTCACTGGTAATGTTTTGCATTCGGCACTCTAATCTCGAAACAACTGTTACGATAATGATATGTATTTTATTCTCAGTGTAATTTGAACATACAATTGAGAACAATACAATAGTTATGTTTACACTGTTATGCCATTTTTGGGAACAATAGTAGGAACTCTGTCTATATCCCCATAAACTACTGTGTCTTTTACGTTAATCATATTTACGGTGTAATTACTTAAGTAACCAATCTCTGATACATAATGTACATAAGTACCTTTCTTTTTAAATAATATTACTTCCCGAAGGTGAATATTTTGTATAGCTGCGTAATGATTATAAAACTAGAAATGACAGTAATAAAATAGCTTTGAGAAAAGATGAAAGTGTTTAGAAGAAACGACACATCTCAGAACCAATTTCAAACTGATCCAACGAATTCAATTGTGTGCCTCTTCATTGAACCCTTTGTAATCCACTTCGCGTATCGAAACGAGGGTCGACAGGTGCGCTAATCCATCGCCACTAATTTTCTGTTACAGAGAAGAAGATGCGGCGTTGCAGCTGGAGCTGAAACCGCCTCGCAGGTTGCGACGAACGGACGGTCCGAAACCTCGACCGGTCACCAAAAAGTAAGGAAACCACCTCGTTAAATCGTCTCGCGCGTCTCGTACCTGTGTCCACCCTTTCTATATAGCGAACCGAATCGAGAAACGAGTCGGAAAGTCGGAAAGAGAACGAGAAAATAAAAAAAAAACT